GAGATAGCGGAGAAAACGGTGAGAGGGAGAAAAAACCCGAGAGATGGGCAGCGGAGATAGCGGAGAATCGCTTGAGAAACCGAGCTGAAAAACGGCGAAGGAAAGAAAAAACCCTGAGACACGGGTAGCTGAGATAGCGGAGAAACGCTTGAGAAAACCGAGCTGAAAAACGGTGAGAGGGAGAAAAAACCCGAGAGATGGGTAGCTGAGATAGCGGAGAATCGCTTGAGAAACCGAGTTGAGAAACGGTGAAGGAAAGAAAACACCCTGAGACATGGGTAGCTGAGATAGCGGAGAAACGCTTGAGAAAACCGAGCTGAAAAACGGTGAGAGAGAGAAAAACCCGAGAGATGGGTAGCTGAGATAGCGGAGAATCGCTTGAGAAAAAAACCGAACTGAAGCGGAGAAACGCTTGAGAAAACCGAGCCGAAAAACGGTGAGAGTGAGAAAAAACCATGAGAGATGGGTAGCTGAGATAGCGGAGAAACGCGTAGGAAAAGACGGGCCGAGACAACCAAATCGAGGTGAAAACGGTGAGGGAAAGAAAACGCCGGACCTACGACAGTGGAAACATGTTCCAAACAGGATGGCTGCCATGCGGCGCCCGTAGCGCTTTCTAAAACAAAGTGGTACATCCCGCTTTCTTCGCCCTGCGGGCCCAGCAGGTGGCGAGAGGCGGTACCTGAAACTGCCTCCGAACGGATCGCACAAGGAGAAATATATTTATAGAGAGAGAGAGATGTCGGCTTCTTGAAGAACAAGATATATATAGGCTTTGAAGAACAATATGTATATATATCAATATATAATAATATGCATAGAAATATTAAATATATAAATATACATGCATAATAATATATTATATATTTACATATTGTTCTGCCAAAGTCGACATGTTGACAGAAAGAGATGCCACGGAGAGAGCAACCGAAAGAGTCCCTCACAAACGAAAATGAAACGTGATGTATAGCAGGGGAGAAGAGAAACGAAAAGGGGGTAGCCAATATATTTATAGAGAGAGAGAGATGTCGGCTACTTGAAGAACAAGATATATATAGGCTTTGAAGAACAATATGTATATATATCAATATACAATAATATGCATAGAAATATTAAATATATAAATATACATATATAATAATATATTATATATTTACATATTGTTCTGCCAAAGTCGACATGTTGACAGAAAGAGATGCCACGGAGAGAGCAACCGAAAGAGTCCCTCACAAACGAAAATGAAACGTGATGTATAGCAGGGGAGAAGAGAAACGAAAAGGGGCTAGCGCGCGGAGGCGGCATGCCCTCACCCAATAGATGTTGTGGGTGTAAGTTTCAAGTAGGTTGTAGAGGTGACGGGTGCAAGTGCGCGACGAACAAGCAATTTTACAAATCCGAGCGTGTGACGCCGCTCACGGATAGCCCAAAAGAAAGACACCTACCATAGACACCTACCACCTACCATAGAGACAGAAACTAGATGGCGACCCACGTCCCTACGTACGGCTACACAGCAGTATCTCCTAAGCAAGAGCACACCGGCAAGAGGCGGGCGCCGTGAGGAGAAGAAAAAGAGAGGATGTTGAAAACGAACAAATATATGTCGAGCGGGCGTTCCCGAAAGGAAAATCCACTCATATTGTAAGCACCACGTGATGAAACCCACGGGCAGCCAGCTATGGCCTGCGTCGAAGAAAATGACGGCAGGGAATGCTGAGAGAGAGCACGACGAACGAATGCTGCAGTGCAGAAATCCATGAGGGACGGGGAGAGACGACGACTGCTGTGGGACGTGGGCCGGCCGAAAACGAGCAAGAACCATATAATGTCTACAAGACTCACCTTGCTGGAAATTGTGGTGTACACGAGCGACTTCTTCTTCACTCGAGGCTCGCGATCCCCGGCCACACTCTCCTCCTCCAGGTCCGCCACGGCTCCAGAGATCTCCGACCGGAGGCGCTTGCCCGCGGTAGCCTCGCCCGCGGTAGTGGCGGGGGAAGACGGCGAGGCAGCCGCTGCCGCCGCAGCCGACGTGGATGCAGAGGAAGGGGAAGAGGGTGTGCTGCTGGCCCTTGCTGAAGGGGCGGAAGAGGGTGCTCCTTCTGCTGCTGAAGGTGCGGTCGCCAAGGTGGGAGGAGCCGGGAGAAGAACCGCGGTCGCCGATAGCCGGAGACCGCCGTGGTGGTCGCAGCGCCACAGGTACTGGAGGAGGGCCTGGGCTAGGGCCGCCTTCATGCGGGCGTCGCCCACGGCCACGGAGTCGGCATTCCCACGCGCGGGAAGGCCGACCGCCATCATGCCAGGCTTGTCGCTGGCTGAGCCGGCGTCGACCAAAGCGCCGAAGATCCGGCACAGGTCGTCTAGGGAGGCTGTTTCCAGCTGCCGTCCGTGCGGTAGCACGCCCAGGCGGGTCAGGTCCATGACCCGCTCACCGCCGTTGCCACTCTTCGGCGCGCAGAGGTCGTATAACTGCTCGATGACTGCCTCGGGTCCTGGCGCGTGGAGGGCATCTAGCTGGAAACTCGGCACCGTTGCCATGATGAACCGGGAAGAAGAAAGGCAAAAAAAAAAAAAAAAAAAAAAAAAAAAAAAAAAAACACAGAAGAGAAACACAAACAGGGGAAAGGAACTAATCCCAGAGGGACGGACGGTCGCGGTCGCCGCTCGAGGAGAGCGGAGGGCGCGGACGGATGATGAGCGTCTCAAAAAGGAGACTCTCCTTTCCTCTGTTTTCCTGTCTTGCACAGGTTTGACAAAAGGAAGTGAGAGTGTGTTCTTCCTCCTCCTTTGTTCTGGATCTTTACGTCTGGAGAATTCTTAAATCGTGCCTCTTTCTTCATTTCCTGTTTTGAGAATCCGGATTCGTCTCAAATCCGAGATTACCCTCGGAAATGAGATGCGACCACATGGAGAAACAAATTTCAAAACTTCGAAAGATGTATGGCAGGCAACCCGCGGCCGCGGGTTACATAGATAGATGCAATCCGATAGGCGTGCGGCCATGCGCGGCGACGTGAATCCAGGCCATGCATAGACTATGTATATCCCGAGTGCGTGCTGTTCCGCAAACCTCGTGACAGCAAACCACCAGAGGCAGCGCGGAAGGACAGGCACCTCAACCGGATGCCCGCAGACCACAAAACCACGTCATCGCTGGAGTTTTTACAAAACAAGAACAAACAAATCAAACAAGGGCAGCATATAGCCCCTAAGTCACGCAGCACACGGCAGAAGTTACAGCAGCAGGGCAAAGCACACAAGACGCACCTCCGCGTTAGCGGGTGAGGTGTCCAGGGGCTCGACGAACTCCTCATCGCGGCAAACCTTCACTGCGCCTGCACCCGAATCTCCGCTGCGGACCGGCTGGCTAGCTGCGGACGCGAACTATCTACAGTCTGCGGGACTCCTGATCCCGCTCCTCCTGCTGCTGTTAGGGGTTGCTGCTGCTGGCGCAGCTGGGGGTCAGGCTGCACCTCTTGGGTTGGCAGCGTGCAGCAGCACGTAGTCGCCCACCTCGGGGAGCACTCCGTGGAAGTTAGCCAAGACCACGACATGGCCCACGCGGTGTCGCGCGGCTGGAGCCTTGTGGAGTCACCCAAACTTTCGTACCAGTATGTATTGAGTAATGACGGGAGAGCTGGTCCGCCGCCCCCGCGCTGGGCATCGCCGAAACCGGCGCTGGTGACGCGGCTGGCGCTGGAGCTCCGACTGGCGCCGGCGTCGGCGTCGGCGCGGGCGGCGTCGGATCGGCTCGAGTTTTCTCTGGCATCTCTCGAAAGTTTTCTTTCCCGGTTTTCTCGCGTATTCACGGTAGGGAGAAAGAAATAATCGGCTGTATGCAAATTTCAACATGTTATCGGGACAGACGCCTACATCCATTTTCGTGCCGAATTTGAATTCGTTTGAAGACCCGATTTTACTTTGCGCACTGAGAGGCCGCGGGAGTTGCACCACCAACAATCCCAACCAAATCGTTCCCAATTCCCAACCAACCAAACCGTATCCAGGTAGGTATGATCTTGTAGTCTAGACTAGATCTCTTGCGCTAGTCAGGGATCGGAAAAAATATATATATGTCTGTGTAGAAGGCCAGTGCGAGTCGCAAGGCAAACATGATCAGCAACAAAAAGCTGTGTGCGTGTGTGTCGCGTGTCAGCAGCTGTGCCGCACCTCACCGTTGCCACCCTTCGCTTTGTGGCTAGTGTGGGTGCTCGTGGCTGCGCATCAGCCTGCGGATATAACTTCGCAGCCACCACTCCCTGTAAATGCATATCGTGGAGAAACTGCCCCCTCTCTGGGATCCCTGCTCCAGTGCGCCCACGGGACGCAGAGCGCGGACTCGGGCGCGACTATCGTCCACCGCTGCGCCTTTCGTCAAAAAAAAGTCTACACATTTATCCGGTCTGCGTCGATCTGCGTATGTATTTTCTAGCACCTGGTCGCTGCCCCTGCGCCTGTGGGCCACCTCTTTAGTATCAAAGGCATATGATTCGCCGAAACCCGAAAGCTCCAAGTCGTCGTGGAAAACGCGTGTGGACGCCATCCGCGTGCGAATAGCTCTCATATGTGTATTGTTGTTGTCTTCACATTAAAAAAAAAAAAATGTGTGTGTGTGATACCAAAAAATTCAGCTCAGTTTTACGTCAAATCTTATTTCGGTTATCAGATGATAATATTCCAGATCTTTTTACATTCACAGTAAAAAAAAACCGACAGCATCACCCATCCATGCGTCCACACGTCCACACAGACCATCGATCTCCTGCTCAACGACGCCGCTACACCCCAGCACTACCAATCCGCCCTCTGCAAAAATATCACCTGCCTAGACAAGACAGGATCGAACGAGAGGAAACAAATCATTTCTACGACACAACACAACAATGACAACGCCCATAACGTGCTGCAACAGCAGGAGAACATGCTCCGGCCTCCCCGTACGGCCGGTGTTACTCAGGGCTCTGCCACTATTGCTGCTTCTTTCCCCTTCAGCGCGGGCCATGACGTACGATGTGGCCGTTGATGGCGACGGGTTTGGTCTGGCCGAAGCCATGGATCTCGCTGAGGCCGAGGACACGGTGAACCTCCAAGACGGGACCTACGAACAAGCCCTGGAAAATGTGAGGGACGGGGAATCCGGCAACCCGATCACCGTGGTCGGCGGGCCGGGGGCGATCATCAAGGCTCAGAATAGCGCCGGTCATTCAGTGTTCGTTGGGCACAGCTTCATCGAGCTCAAGGTGAGCATGTAGGGTTGTCCGCGGTGGGCGTGACATGTCTGTGTGTTTGTGTATTACCGGTTTGATATCCCCTGCGCCAGGTGGTGTTCTCAGCCCCGATACCTCCCTCCGCACTGGGGTCTCCCACACTTTCTACAGTTCGCTAAAACGTCAATGGGCACTTTGTTGCCCATCGGGTACCCGTGGTTGATCCATGGGTTGTTGCCCATGGGGTACCCATGTTTAACCCAGGTAGCCCGTGGGAAGCCCATGGGCGGCCCATGGGCAACCCATGGGCAATCCATGGGCGGCCAACTAGAGGCCTTCAACCGGAAAGTGTACTCCTAAACAATATATTATCTGCTTTGGAACGGGCATTATAGCGGCTACTAACCCTAACACTAACCGTAACCGTAACCCCAAGCCCACACGATACGTTCTAGGTTGACGCTGGTGGCTAAGTTCTAGCTTGATATGCCGGTGGCGAAGTTCAAGGTTGAAATGCCCGCGCTGGGCACTCCATGGGCACTTCGTTGGCCGCCCATGGGCGGTTGGCCAAATCGTCGGTAGTGTGGGAGATTGCCACACTTTGTAAAGTGGTGTCCCCACCCCCGCTCCCGTCTCCTCAGCCAGGTACGCCAGGTACGCCAGGTTCTGCAGAATTGGCCTGGCACCACGGTTCCTACAATAGGCGGGTGAATTGGCCTGGCGCATACCCACACTAAAGAACGGCCTACCACTGTTGTCTTGGGCCACAACACCCTGTCGCGCCCGGAACCCCACCTTATTCTTTCATCCGTCCGAAAGTATGATAAATGTACTTGAATCGTTGGCCGGTCATCAGCCCCGAATTAACGCACATACCATCCACAAATGGTTTGTCGAATGCCTCGCCCATGGTGAGGTGCCGCATCCAACAAACGTGGGTTGGGCTCATTTGTGCACATACATGTAGGTCGCCGAGGTTGAGTGATTGTGAAACTGTAGATGGGCAGCCATCGGACGCTCAACAGCAAATTCACACCAACCGGTGGTTCGCCTGGACTGATGACACGATAGTGTGTTGCACAAGGTTGAAAGAACGCCTGGAAGGATGAGACGATACTGCG